AAATAGCGTCGACTTCAGCCGGGTCCGCGATCTCGATTCGTAGTTCGAGCCCGCACGTCGACTCCAGGCTGATGGCTGGGGCCTGGAGCTGTTCCGGAGTCCTGTGTCTCCCTCTCTCTCTGCCCTTCCCCGTTTCATGCTCTGTCTCTCTCTGTCCCAAAATAAATAGCGTTGAAAAAAATAAATAAAAATAAAATCACTTGAAATAAAGTTTGATGCGAAATGATATGGCTTGTTGTGTTGTTTTCCCTTAAAAGCTACTGTATTTGTAACTTTTCAGAATTAACTGAATGGAGACAGATGAATTTATTAAAACTACGGGTGTATTAAAAATATATAGCACATGGGGAAGCCTGGGTGGTGTAGTAATTAGGTTAGCGTCGACCAGCCAGGTCGCGGTCTCACGGTCTGTGAGTTTGACCCAGCGATGGGGCTCTGAGCTGATGGCTCGGAAGCCTGGAGCCATATTTCGATTCTGTGTCTCCCTCTCTCTCTGCCCCTCCCGTTCGTACTCTGTCTCTCCCAAAAATAGCGTTGAAAAAAAATTAAAAAAAAAAATATAGCACAGAATCTGCCCACACTGTACATTTTATATAAATAGCTATTTCTAAAATGTAAAAATGAGTTTTCTTCAGAAAGTATGTTTCAAAAAACTTTATGGTGACCAATTTGTGTAATGGCATTTTCTGTGATTATAAAACGACAGAGTCTTATTGCTATTTTTAACTTTAAAACAATAAATTGAACCCTTCAAGAAAACTCTTTATGATCAAGACTCTCTCCACTTCATCTTCTGTACTTTGTAAAAACATTTTTTTTAAACATGTATCACTTTGTAATTTAAAAAAGACCTATAATACAAGGGTACATAGGTGGCTCTAGTCAGTTAGTGTCCAACTCTTGATTTTGGTTCAGGTCATGTGATCCCATGTCCTGGGATCAAAGACCACGTGTCCAGCTCTGCACAATGACAAAAGTGGAGTGAGTGTCTCTCTGTCTCTGTCTCTCTCTCTCCCCCTCTGCTCTCCTTACAATCTTCTCTCTCACTCTCTCTCAAAAAATTGAAAAAATAAAAGACCTATAACCCAATGAACAACTTTGAAAGCAGGGGTGCCTGACTGACTGGCTGTGTCAGAGAAAATATGTAGCTCTTGATCTCAAGGTCATGAGTTTCCAGCCCCACATTGGGTACAAAATTTTCTTAAATAAACGACTTTGAAAAGAGAGGATGCTGGGTGTGGCTCAGTCAGTTAAGTGCCGCTCTTGGTCGGCTCCAGGTCTTGGGCTACAGTTTGTGAGACAGGGCTATAGAACCCCGCATCAGGCTCTGTGTGAAGTGCTGGGGTCTGCTTGTGATTCTCTCTCTACCACTCTCTGCCCCTACCCGGCCCATGCATACACACATGCCTGGCTCTCTGTCTCAAAAAACAAACATCTAAACATAATTATAGGGGTGCCTGGTGGCTCAATTGGATGGGTATTCAACTTCAACTCAGGTCATGATCTGCAGCAGTCCATGAGGTTAGAGTCCCATGTCAGGCTTCTATGCTGACAGCTCTCTGAGCCTGGAGCCTGCTGATTCTGTGTCTCCTCTCTCTGCCCCTCTCCCTGCTTTTCTGCTCTCTCTAAACTTTAAAAAAATTTTTTTAATATTTATAAAAAAAAACAAAAAGCATGTATCACCTAACATAATATTCAAGATAAGCTTATTGTTTTTTTTTTAAGATTACAAGGCATATATTCATTTAAAACTACTTTTGACATGTAATACAAATATATATATATGTATATATATATATATATATATATATATATAAGTTCAGAGCCATGCAGTCCAATACAGAAGCCGAAACACATGTGTAGCTGTTTAAATTAATTTAAATCTAAAAAATCAGTTCCTAGAGGCAGCAGAGGTAGCTCAGTACATTAAGCAGCTGACTTAGGCTCAGATCATGTTGTTCTCCAGTTACGTCAGGTTCGAGCCCTCGTCAGGCTCCATGTGCTGACAGCCCTGGGAAACCTGCCTTATTCTGTGTGCTCTCCTCTTGCCTTACCTGCTCACACTCTGTCTCTCTGTCTCAAAAGTAAACATACACACAGCATAAAAATTAAAAACATAAAAATCAGTTCCTCACCTTAGCCCCATTTCAGCTCAAAAGCTGCTAGAACTACTGAATTAGAAAGGAGAAGATATAGACTATACTCATCCAGTACAAAGTTCTACTAGACCATATGCTAGTCTACAAAGACATATATCTGACGTAACTGATTTTATCTGGTGGCAAATTTATGGCTATTAATTTTCTTCTCTTTTTTTTAAGAATGTTTTTTATAAGGGCTCCTGGGTGGCTCAGTTGGTTGGGCATCTAACTCCTCGTCAGCCCAGGTCGTATCTGACGGTTGTGGCCTCAAGCCTCTCCTCAGTACTTCTGATAGAGATGGAGCTTGCTTAAGATTCTCTCTCTCCTCTCCTGTCCTCTCCGGCTCATGCATGTTCTCTGTCTCTCTCCCTCTTTCCAAGATAAATAAACTTAAAAAAAAAAAAAAGTTTTTTGAGACTTAGGTGACTCAGGTGGTTAAGTTCTGACTTCAGCGAGGTCATGATCTCTCACAGTTCGTGATGAGTTCAAGCCTGTTTCGATTCTGTCTCCCTCTCTCTTAATATGCTCTTTCCCATTTGTACTTTTATGCACTAGCTCTCTCTCTCAAAAATAAATATTAAAAAAAAGTTTTTTATGATTCTTCTTGTGTGTTTTTTAAAAGGTTATAAAAATCTTTAAACTTTTGCAACAAACTCTTGTATTTAAATATACATTTGCCTCTTACTATTTCCATACATTTATTTTTTTTTACCTATTCTCGTAACTCTTGTGTGTCCACGCCTGACTCTTCTAGTTTCATCCTCACAGGTAAACTAAGTAAAACAAATGAATACATTTAAGAAAATACTCGCTTTACAAAAAAAAAGAAAACAAATGCTTTCACACACTGAAGGAGGAGTGCAATATTATGTTTTTGTGTTATTAAAAAAAAAAAAACCTTAAAATCACCAAAAAATATATGTAATCTGTTTTCCAAGTGAGAAGCCATATTTACTATCTTTTATTTCTCTGTAGACATTTCAGTTGAAGGTTATCTTCTCGTAATAGCTTCTAGATCGACAACGTGTGCATTATCAAATTCCTTTCATCCATTCAACAACATTTACTGAATTCTTCTATGTGCCAAGCATTATAGGTTCCAAGTCACCATTCTCAACAGGGAAAGACAAAAAAGAAACTGGGAGGAAAAGACACACACATATAAACATGCCAAATAAACGCACATATAACACTTGTAATAAGGAAGTGACAAGCTGGGAGAAAACAAAATGAAGCAAAGAACAGGAAGGAAAAGGAAAAAAGGGTGATTAAGTGAGTAAATATACTGTACATAAAGCAGCTCAGAAGCTGAGTAACCTTTGAGGCTCAAAACCATCCTCAGAAAAACCATTTCAAGCAAGGGTGAAAAAAAAAAAACAAGTTCAAATCCTGATGTGTAGAACATGTTTGCCATACTGAAAAAAAAAACCAAGAGGTCTAGTGTGAACTGGAACAAGTGAGGGGAGTGTGGGAGATAGTCCAGAGAATAAGCAGGGGAGCACTGGGACGCTATGCAGGTCATGGAAACTTTGGTAGATAGGAAGTTGGAGGCACAAAGTAAAGAAGGATCATGCCCATCTTCCTGGACAGCAAAAAGCTCAACCAAGAGGAAAACATAACTAAAGTCCCTATCGACTTAGTAAGCATAAATGGTTTACCATCATCCTTAAACTGTTATCCCCAACCATCCCAATAGATTCTGTCACAAGCCAGGATCCATTCACCTAAAGCAAATGCTCAATATAGAAAAAGCCCAGAGAAAGAAGAGTGTAAAAAGCAATTCTTCAAAATACATGATAAATAACAGGGATGGAACATATTCAAATGTTTAAGGCAATGACGTGTCTTTTTCCTTCAAGTTTTTATCACACTCCAGATTATCAAGTTTTAAATTTAAATTCTTAAATATGTGGCTGAAAAGTACACAATAATTACTACTTTGTAAAGCGTCAAGTTGATCAGCACAAAAGGCTTTTCCAATTCTTTCAGGTTTGTCCTTCTTGACCAGGGCTACAACATAACAAGGCTGGTCAACATCTGAATGAACAAAGAAAAAAAAAATCTTTTTAACTTTTTTTTTTTTAAACAGCAATATTCATTCTCACCCCTATTTTGGAAAGCTAAAGATTCCAACAACTTTATTTCAAATAAAGTGACTAGAATAAGTTAAATAAACATAAATAAATAAATACTGACTGACTGCAAATAAAAAGGCGATTTTTATAACAAACAGCATACACACACGTACAGCTTAAAGATTTTCCTTTTATGCTTTTATAAAATTGTCTATTTTCAATAATTATACAGAATTTTTGGACCAAATCTACATTGATTTGCATCTCAATGAAACAAGGATGGCAACCAACCCGAGTTGCAGGGCTGTTAGAAGCACTGTTCATATCTTCAGGGAACTATCTGTTCCATGTGACTTATGAGGAAAAGAACCAGTGTTGGGACACCTTTCCTCATTCCCTACTCTTTAAGGCACCAACAGCTCAGCAATCAATTCCCACTGATAATCTTCTCGGTCTCTTGAAGATCTATTTTTTTTTTTTAATGTTTTCTCCA